TGCTGTCTGAAGACTTCATCAGCCCCCTCTAGGTGAACTGCAGCACAGGCCCTTAGGATTTTGAGCAAAGCCTTGCCATCCTCCGCAGATAACGACTCTTCTGTTTCCAAACAGCTCTTAGCTTGCTTACTGGGCCTTAGTAGAGACTGAGTCCTTAACAGCAGACCACCAAGTTACTTTGTGACCTGAGCTGTCCATCGTGAACTGGGTGTTATCTGACCCACCATGCCGTGTAAGCTGGGCATGCAAAACAGCATTCTATCAGTAAATGAAACTGGAGTATATGAGACTGGGTCCATATAGGCCCTGATGGCATAAGCAATTTATGTGAATATACGGCCCAAATGCCGTGGTTACCCCCAGCCTGCACCTACAGCCTCTGGGGCACTTCCCTATGATCGTTTCACAGAGGAAGAAAACACTCAGGCCTGGTTTACGGATTATTCTGCACAATATGCAGGCACCACCCAAAAGTGAACAGCTGCAATACTACAGCCCCTTTTAGGGACATCCCTGAAGGACAGGGGTGAAGGGAAATCCTCCCAGTGGGTAGAACTGTGAGCAGTGTACCTGGTTGTTCACTTTGCTTGGAAGGAGAAATGGCCAGATGTGCAATTATATACTGACTGATGGGCTGTGGCCAAGGTTTAGCTGGATGGTCAGGGACTTGAAAGAAACATGATTGGAAAATTGTTGACAAGGAAATGTGAGGAGAAGGTATATAGATAGGTCTCTCTGGATGAGAAAACACACACACACACACACACACACAATAAAAAAGCAAACCCATGAAGATATTGGGTCTCATGTGAATGCTTACAAAGGGCAACCTCAGCAGAAGATTTTAATAATCAAGTGGATAGGATGATCCATGCAGTGGATACCAGTAAGCCTTTTCCCCCAGCCACTCCTGTCATCACCCAATGGGCTCATGAACAAAGTGGACATGGTGGCAAGGATGGAGCTCATGCATCAGCTCAGCAACATGGACTTTCACTCACCAAGGCTGACCTGGCTATGGCTGTCACTGAGGACTCAGTCGGCCAGCAGCAGAGACCAACACTGGGCCTCTGACATCATACCATTCCCTTGGCTGAACAGGTTGATTACACTGGACCACTTCCATTGTGGAGGGGCAGTATTTTGTTCTTACTGGAATATTTACTCTGGATACAGATCTGCCTTCTCTGCCTATAATGCTTCTTACCCAAACTATCATTCACAGACTTCCAGAATGCTTTATCCACTGTCATGGTATTCCACATAGCATTGCTTCTGATCAAGGAAGTCACTTCCTAGCAAATGAAGCATGGCAATGGGCCCATGCTCATGGAATTCACTGGCCTATGTTCCCTACCATCCAGAAGCAGCTGCTTTGAGACAACAGTGGACTGGCCTTTTGAAGACTCAGTTACAGTACCCACTAGGTGGCAATACCTTGCAGAGCTGAGGCAAGGTTCTCCAGAAGGCTGTAAGTGCTCCAAATCAGCATCCACTATATGGTGCTATTCTTCTGATAGCCGGGATTCACAGGTCTAGGAATCAAGGCGGGGGCGGGGGGGGGGGAGTGGGAGTGGCACCCAACACTATGATCCCTAGTGATCCACTACCACAATTTTTTTTGCCTCTGTCCTGTAAGCCTATGCTCTGCCTCCCTAGAGGTCTTAGCTGCAAAGGAGGGATACTTCCACCAGGTGACACAATGATTCCATCGAACTGGAAGTTAAGACTGTCACCCAACAGGGCGCCTGGGTGGCTCAGTTGGTTAAGCGACTGCCTTCGGCTCAGGTCATGATCCCGGAGTCCCAGGATCGAGTTCCACATCAGGCTCCCTGCTCAGTGGGGAGTCTGCTTCTCCCTCTGACCCTCTTCCCTCTCGTGCTCTCTCTCTCTCATTCTTTCTCTCTCAAATAAATAAATAAAATCTTTAAAAAAAAAAAAAAAAGACTGTCACCCAGCCACTTAGGGCTCCTCGTGCGTCTGAGTCAACAAGCAAAGAAGGGAGTCACTGTGCTGGCTGGGATGGGTCCTGATTACCAAGGGGAAATTGGACGACTGCTCCACGATGGAGGTAAAGGAAAAAAATGTCTGGGATACATTTTTTTGTATCCCTCAGGGTGTCTCTTAGTATTCCTATGCCCTCAGGGTGTCTCTTAGTATTCCTATGCCCTCAGGGTGTCTCTTAGTATTCCTATGCCCCATGTTTGGGTCCATGGGCAGGACTACTAATGGCCCAGATCCTTTAGGAATGAGAGTTTGGCCAGCGGAGGTGCTTGTTAAAGACCAAGAGAATACAGAATGGATAGTGGAAGAAGGTAGTTATAAATTGTCAGCTACAACCACATGACCATTTACAGAAATGTAATTTCTGTAATTACAGAACTATAATTGTCCTAACAGTTCCTTCTTGTTTTGCTATGAATATGTGTATGTGTGTGTGTATAAAAATAAAATATCTTTGTTTTCTTTCCTCTCTTATTTCCTTATCATCATCATTAGTATCCTATGACTTTATATCATAGTATTTAAATATTATATTTTGTTATTGTCTTTATTTGGAGATTAAATATGGTTTTAAAAAGATGTGAATTGAGGGGCGCCTGGGTGGCTCAGTTGGTTGGGCGACCGCCTTCGGCTCAGGTCATGATCCTGGAGTCCCGGGATCGAGTCCCGCATTGGGTTCCCTGCTCCGCGGGGAGCCTGCTTCTTCCTCTGACCCTCCCCCCTCTCGCGTGCTCTTTCTGTGTTTCTCATTCTCTCTCTCAAATAAATAAATAAAATCTTTAAAAAAAAAAAAAGATGTGAATTGAGAAGAGGTAGACCTGTGATGGTTAATTTTATGTGCTAACTTGACTGAGCCACAAGGTGTCCAGACATCTGGTCAAACATTATTCTGGGTATGTCTGTGAAGGTATTTCTGAATGAGATTAACATCTGAATCAGTAGACTGAGTAAAGACTGCCCTCTCTACTGTGGGTGGGCCTCAACCAATTAACTGAAGGCCTGAATAAAAAAAAAAACAAAAAACGGCTGAGCAAGAAGGAATTCTTCCTGCTTGACTGTTGAGCTAGAACACTGGTCTTTTCTGGCCTTTGGACTCAGACTGAAACATCACATGTGTATACACACACACACACACACACACACACAAACACACACACACATCCTACGGGTTCTGTTTCTCTGGAGAACCCTAATACAAGCATTATATCTTACATTTAAAACAACTTTATTGGGGGTGCAGGGATGGGGTAACTGGGGGCTGGACATTAAGGAAGGCACATGATGTAATGCGCACTGGGTATTATATAAGATTGCACTGACCTCGACCTCTGAAACCAATAATATGTTATATGTTAATTAATTGAATTTAAATTAAAAAAATAAATAAAATGTTGATGTTTTGTTCACCAAGGATTTTTTTTTAAAGATTTTATTTATTTATTTGACAGAGAGAGACACAGTGAGAGAGGGAGCACAAGCAGGGGGAGTGGGAGAGGGAGAAGCAGGCTTCCCACCAAGAAGGGAGCCTAATGCAGGGCTCGATCCCAGGACCCTGAGATCATGACTTGGGCCGAAGGCAGATGCCCAAAGACTGAGCCATTTTAGAGAGAGTGTGTGAGTCTGGGAGGGGGGAAGGGCAGAGGGAGAGGGAGAGAGAGAATCCTTTTTTTTTTTTTCCAAAGATTTGAAAGAGAGAGAATGAGACAGAGAGCACATGAGAGGGGGGAGGGTCAGAGGGAGAGGCAGACTCCCCGCCGAGCAGGGAGCCCGATACGGGACTCGATCCAGGGACTCCAGAATCATGATCTGAGCCAAAGGCAGTCGCTTAACCAACTGAGCCACCCAGGTGCCCGGGAGAGAGAGAATCTTAAGCAGACTCCATACCTAGCATGGAGTCTGACAAAGGGCTCAATCTCATGACCCTGAGACCATGACCTGAGCTGAAATCAAGAGTTTGACACCTGGGGCACCTGGGTGGCTCAGTTGGTTAAGCAGCTGCCTTCAGCTCAGGTCATGATCCCGGAGTCTTGGGATCGAGCCCCGCCTCAGGCTCCCTGCTTGGCGGGAAGCCTGTTTCTCCTTCTCCCACTCCTCCTGCTTGTGTTCTTTCTCTAGCTGTCTCTCTCTCTCTCTCTGTCAGTTAAATAAATAAATAAAATTTTTATTAAAAAAAAAAAGTTTGACACTTAACCAACTGAGCTACCCAGACACCCCCATAATCCAATTTTATGACATTTTCATCAACCCAATATGATCTTTCATGCACATTTAACCTTAATCTCCCCTCTCCCTCCTCCAAGCAATCAGTAGTCTACTTTCTGACTTTATAGCTTTGCCTTTTCTGGATATTTCATATAAATGGAAACTTACAATATGTGGTCTCTTCTGTCTGGCTCCTTTCACTGAGCATGTTTCTGTAGTTCATCCACGTGGTAGTATGCATACGTAATTTGTTCCTTTTTTATTGTTGAATAGTATTCCATTGTATGAAAAGAGCATATTTTGTCTACCCATTCACGTGTTGGCGGACATTTGGGTTGTTTCCAATTGGGCTATTATGAGTAATGCTGCTAAGAACATTCCTAAGCAAGTCTTTGTGTGGATACGTTTCCACTTCTCTTAGATTGATATGTAATGGTGAAACTGCTGGATCACACAGTAAATTTATGTTCAGCATTTTAAGAAACTGCCAAACTTTTCTCCAAAGTGGCTACACCATTTTACATTCCCACCAGCAAAGCGTGAAGGTTCCCACTTATCCACATTTCCCTCCAAACTTTGTTATTACCTGTATGCTAAAATATGGACATTCTATGAAAAACAACCCCCCCCCCAACACACACACACAATAAAAAGTTTTAAAATGTTCAGTGAGGAGGCTACGGCTTTTGAGAGGTAAAACGGTCTCTCTTAAAAACTGACTACAGTCCTCCAGCCAGCAGAGGGCGCTCCAAGCCAGAGTCTCTCCTCCTAGCCTTTCACAGCGCCATCTTAGCGAGATCCCCGTTGCTAGGAGACGGAGATGCGTTTGGCTCCAGACCCCAGCCTCGCTGCTATCCCAGGTTCTCTCTCTTGTGGAAGGGCTAAGATCTAAGGTCGCACTACCATCCAGGGGCAGTTCCGTAAGGCCCTTTTCTGGGGCGTTTTCCTCCTATTTCTTCTAAAGCTGAACAAAGCAGACTGAGGATCCTTGCCTAGATCCACGCTCCCCCGCCCCCAGCTATGCCTAAGAAAGGGAAAAAGGCCAAGTTGCCCCTGTCCGATGAGGAGCAGCTGCTTCTGTTTCAGCAGAAGTTGCTGGCAGAGGAGGAGATGGCCAAGAAGAAAGAGAGGCTCCTGAGCCAGTTCTTGAAGGTGATGGTTTTCTGCATTACTCTGCCCAACCCCACCCACTCCCTGCACTGGCCCTGCGCCTTGACCCTCTCACTGTGGCAGCCTCTTTTCATGCTGGCCTCCCCTCCTCCGGAAATCTTGAAACCCAAATATACTTTGGTTTCTGGCAACATTGTTTGGGGAGGAGGCAGTTCTTTGTGAAGCACAGAGGGGGGCAAGTGGTAGAGAGGTTGACGGTCACAACTGAGCCACAGACTGGGACAGTAGGTGTTATCAGCTGTCTGAGCGGTCTGAAATTCTGATATACTCCCTGGAGATTATAAACATCTGCTCTGCTGTCTTCACCTGAAGGAAATTCACCCTTGCCCTCCCCAAAGTGCCATCAGGCTGTTTCTGTCTTACTTCAGACCCTCCCAAAAACAAGAACAGGAACTCCCTGAGTATTAGTCATCAGGAACTTTGGTCTCAGAAAAGACAAAGGGTAAGGTGTCAGTGACAACCTGTGATCTTGTTTGTTTTACCGTAACAGGGCTTTAGGCCCTGCCCTCCTGGGGTGTATTTATTCCTTCACACAGGACAAGCTGGCCAAGGAGGAGCACAATAGTGCTCTGAACCTTAACAAGATTAACACACAGTGGAGAACCGTCCTTAGGGAAGTCAAGACCAGAGAGCTTCATAAGGACATTGAGATCCTCAGCCAAACATTTGAACGAGTGGTGGACTGCAAGGACAGTGTCATCAAGGTAGGTGCTCTTCCCAGTGAAACACTTGAACCTGGCTGCCTTGATCTTTTTTTTTTTTAAAGATTTTATTTATTTATTTGACAGAGAGAGAGACAGTGAGAGCAGGAACACAAGCAGGGGGAGTGGGAGAGGGAGAAGCAGGCTTCCCGCTGAGCAGGGAGCCCGATGCGGAACTCGATCCCAGGACCCTGGGATCGTGACCTGAGCCGAAGGCAGCCGCTTAACGACTGAGCCACCCAGGCGCCCTGCCTTGATCTTTTTAATAGAATTGGCCTACTGAATTAATTTATGAATCATTTTTTGGGGGGAGAAAGAGGGAGGGATAGGGAGGGGCACAGGGACAGGGAGAGAGAGAATCTCAAGCAGCCTCCATGCCCAGAGTGGAGCCTGACGTGGGGCTCCATTTCACAACCCTGAGATCATGACCTGAGCTGAAATCAAGAATCAGACGCTTAACCGACTGAGCCACCCAGGCACCCCTAATTTTTTTTTTTTTAAGATTTTATTTATTTATTTGAGAGAGAGAGAATGAGAGAGAGAGAGCACGAGAGGGAAGAGGGTCAGAGGGAGAAGCAGACTCCCCGCTGAGCAGGGAGCCCGATGTGGGACTCGACCCCGGGACTCCAGGATCATGATCTGAGCCGAAGGCAGTCGCTTAACCAACTGAGCCACCCAGGCGCCCTGCCCCTAATTTTTTAATCAACCTAAAGCCCTCACAAGATGCAGGCCGTGATGAAGCGGGCATTAGTAATACCAGTTTTCACTGAAATGACAAGTGGACTACTGGACTGTCCTCCCTCTCCCCTGCTTCAGCGTACCCATCTTCCTTGGTCATCTACTGCCTGAAACCAGCACTGTACAATGTTAGAGTTGTAAGGCACAGCAGACATCACCCAATGACTTGAACTTAGTCTCGCATCTTCACTTCACTGTGAGAAGACTCCATTCCAGAGGGGGGAACTGGCTTGCCCAGTGTCACACAGCCAGTCAGCAAGAAAGCTGGAACCAGAGCATGAGTTTCTTGATTCCTACTCCAGTGCTTTATTTAACCAAATTGTTTGGTCTCTTTGATTCAAGTTCAGTGGCCCTGGATGAATCTGAGATCTCCACGGGTAAGAGCAGTTCTGGATCTCTAAGCAACTCAATCAGCCATATGCTCTTGGGAGATTGTGTTGAATCCACACCATATTCTTTTCTAAGGGATTTTGCTATATCCCTTCTTTTATCCCATTTTTAACCTCTGTTTACTGACTCCTCAGTCTTTTCTATCTTAAAACAACAACAACAACAGAAATCCCACAGTAACAGCAAAATATACATTGTCAGCGTGGCATGCCCCCTCTTGAAAAGACGCATCTCTCCTTCTCAGCCTAACTCCTGAGGGAAAAAAATTTCAGTAGACCTGGGCAAGCTTCAAATGATACATATTAAGAGTCCCCAAATTTGCGAAAACCATTATACATTAGAATTCCTTACCCCACCAGTTATACCTTATGGCTTTTCAAGTGACTTCTTTAGACCCTTATTGAGAGTTATCAAATACTTGCTAAGAAGAGAACCAGCAGTGTTCATTCAGGGATGCTGAGCAGTGGTCAGGCTCACCCTTAAGCCAGCTAGCTTCCAGCTATGTAGCTAATGCTTACAAGTCCCCACCTTAGGTAAATCACACACTGCTAATTAAGCACGTTCAGGGTCATTCCTGAATAACCGAACCTACACGTGTTAAATGTGCAAATGTCACTCACTTGCTATCTCCACTTCTTCACTTCCTGTTTATCCTGCATCCCACATCTGATTTCCACTCTTCCCTAGGAGGTTGCTCTGGTAAAGACTACCAGGCTCGAATCCCGGATACTTTTCATCGTTTAGTCTTCATCTAACCCGACTCCTCTGTGGCACGGACTTTTTAAAAAAGATTTTATTTATTTGAGAGAGACAGAGAGAGAACCCGAGCAGAAGGGAGGGGTAGAGGGAGAAGGCCAAGCCAACTCCCCGCTGAGCAAGGAGCCCTACGTGGGACTTGATCCCAGGACCCCAAGATCACCGCCCAAGCCGAAGTCAGATGCTCAACCAAGCCACCCAGGTGCCCCTGTGGCACTGACATTCTTGGTCACACCACCCTCCTTGAAACTCCCCTTTGGTTTCCATGACACCATTCGATCCTGGCTTTTCTCCTGCCTCTGGGATGTATAGTGAATCCTCTTTGTGAGTTTATCTTCCTCTCTCCAATGCCTGAACTTTAACATTTCCCACGTTTCTGAGTCTGGCCATCTCACCCTTTAACCAGGTGTCTAGGGCCTAGACAGTTGTGCTCATTACCCTGACTTAATTTTTTTTAGATGTTATTCATTTATTTATTTAGAGCGAACACGAGTGGGAGGAGGGCGAGAAGGAGAGAATCTCAAGCAGACTCCTCACCAAGCGAAGAGCCTGACGCAGGGCTCGATCTCACAACCCCAGCTGAAACCAAGAGTCAGCTACTCAACCGACTGAGCCACCCAGGTGCCCCTCATTACCCTGACTTTTTTTAATTTTTAAAAAATATTTTATTTATTTGAGAGAGAAAGAGCATGAGAGGGGGGAGGTCAGAGGGAGAAGCAGACTCCCTGCTGAGCAGAGAGCCCAATGCGGGATTCGATCCAGGGACTCCAGGACCATGACCTGAGCCGAAGGCAGTCGCTTAACCAACTGAGCCACCCAGGTACACCTACCCTGACTTTAAATATCACTTTTATATTAATGACTTCCAGGTTCTGTAAAACCAGCCATTTTGAATAATGTGAGTGTATTACCTATTCAAAAAAGTAAAACAAATTAAAATTAAAATGAATGAAATGGGTGCCTGGCTGGTTTGGTCAGTGGAGCGTGCAACTCTTGATTTCAGGCTTGTGAGTTCGAGCCCCACATTGGGTGTATAAATAACTTAAACATAAAATTAAAAAAAAAAAAGTGAATGAAACAACAAAACAAGGATTTAGTGAATGCCTACATGATCAGGCACCTTGAGCCACTCACTGTAAACTATCACAACCTCTATGCAGGGCTAGTTTTCACCTAAATGTATGGTATGAAACAGGATCTTTTGAAATAGGTGCTGATAGTGGAAGCCTCTTCATTCACTCAGCCAGTGTTTACTAAACCTGTCATTACCAGCACTGTGCTGGATGCCAAAGATTCGGGGATGAAAAGACAAGAATCCTCAATTCCTTTTAGGGGTAGCCTCATCGTTATAAACGTCTGTTGTGCCTAGGACGCTGCCTGGCTACATGGGCTTCCCTGATGTCACTCTCACTTTCCAATCATGAGTCAGAGAACCAGCTCTCCTAGAGCCAGAGAGCCGGCATCAGGAACTAGGGGAAAATGCCATTCATGCCATCCAGCTGAAGACATTTTTATTTTCTTGCACTGATGCCATTCAGCCAAAATGGTAACTCTGTTTTCTACCCAGTCTTTAGCCAAGGACCTGTCAGAAGCAGAGGAGCAGTACGCCCACGCCCTGCGCGGCCACCTGCACAGCATTGACCAGCTCTTAGCCCTGCAGAGACGCCGGCTCAACCTCCTAGAGGAGAGTTACAACACAGAGCTGGAGGCCCTAACCAAAGAGTTTGAGACAGAAAGGTATGGGGACCTAAGAGGAAACCGGGGATGGAGTCCAGGAGAGTATCCAGAGCCTGTGTCAAGGAGCTACCTCTAAGCAGGCGGCCAGCAACCTGGAGCATCCCATCCTGCTTATGACATGACCCCCACCAGAGAACATCCAGAGTTCCTTCTAAACTAATGTGGGTTTAAGCTTGTGGCTTTAGCCTCCCTATGCCCATGCCAGGTCTCTATCTCTAATACCCTCACCACCTACTTTCAGCTATCAAAATCCAACCCATCTGGCAGGGGACAGGGAGGGGAGGGAGATTTCTCACTGAAACATTTTGTACTTTATTGCTTTGTGTATCATATGAATGTACTGCCTATTCAAAAGTCAAAATAATCTTATTCACTCTTTCTGACCCTAAAATGAAGAGAGCCTACCCTCCCTCTCTGACCCTTCAGTACCTAGGAGTTTGAACCACTCATGTAGTTTTACTACATACTGCTTTGAGTTGTCCTTTTTGGTCCATATGCTTTATCCTTCAGAGCAGGGACAGTGTCTTATATCCCACAGGAAGACAATTATTGACCAGCATGAAAAAGAGATTCACTACCTACAAGATGTCTTCATGGCCATGGAGCAGAACTATATAGATTCTGAGTATGAAAGTAAGCTGGAGTTCCAGAGCTTGTGGGATGATCTCAAAAACAAGGTATGGAAGGAGAGTAGCTGGGCAAGAGCTGGGAGAGAAGGGAGAGAAAAATGCTCTAGGCCACTGGAGGTCCTAGAGACACCTAACCAACACAATCAAGAAAATGCCTGTACCCCTACTGCATTTTGTAGTTTTGTAGAAATTGGTTGGGAAGAACCATTCTGAAATGTCAAGGAAATGCATTTTAAAGCTAAAAGGCACCAAGGAGATCATTTGGCTTCACCCCTGTGATTTGTAGATGAAGAAACTAAGGCCCAAAGAAATAAAATGATCTGCCAAAGTCATGCTGCTGTTTTGTGATAGAACCAGGAGAATCCAGGTCTGCCCTTGGCCCAAAGTGCTATCCACCATCCTATTTTATTTTTTTTAAAGATTTTTTTATTTATTTGACAGAGAGAGACACAGCAAGAGAGGGAACACAAGTAGGGGGAGTGAGAGAGGGAGAAGTAGGCTTCCCGCAGAGCAGGAAACCCGACGTGGGGCTCGATCCCAGGACCCTGGGACCATGACCTGAGCTGAAGGCAGACGCTTAACCGACTGAGCCACCCGGGCGCCCCATGTTTTGTAAATTTTTATTTTTTTATTTTTATTTTATTTTATTTTTTTAAAGATTTTATTTATTTATTTGACAGAGAGAGACAGCGAGAGAGGGAACACAAGCAGGGGGAGTGGGAGAAGGAGAAGCAGGCTTCCCGCTGAGCAGGGAGCCGGACGTGGGGCTCGATCCCAGGACGCTGGGATCATCACCTGAGCCGAAGGCAGACGCTTAACGACTGAGCCACCCAGGCGCCCCTGTTTTGTAAATTTTTAAAATAATCTTCCTACATTTATTTATTTATTTATTTATTTATTAAAGATTTTATTTATTTATTTGACAGAGAGAGACACAGCGAGAGAGGGAACACAAGCAGGGGGAGTGGGAGAGGGAGAAGCAGGCTTCCCGCCGAGCAGGGAGCCCGATGTGGGGCTCGATCCCAAGACCCCGGGGTCATGACCTGAGCTGAAGGCAGAAGCTTAACAACTGAGCCACCCAGGCGCCCCTAAGCTTCCTACATTTAAAAACTGGGAGATTTGGGGCGCCTGGGTGGCTCAGTCAGTTAAGCGGCTGCCTTCGGCTCAGGTCATGATCCCGGGGTCCTGGGATGGAGCCCTGCGTCGGGCTCCCTGCTCAGAGGAAAGCCTGCTTCTCCCTCTCCCTCTGTCTGCCTCTCTGCCTACTTGTGCTCTCTTTTTTTAAGATTTTATTTATTATTTATTTGACAGAGAGAGAGACAGCGAGAGAGGGAACACAAGCAGGGAGAGTGGGAGAGGGAGAAGCAGGCTTTCCGCAGAGCAGGGAGCCCGATGCGGGACTCGATCCCAGGACCCCAGGATCATGACTTGAGCCAAAGGCAGACGTTTAACGACTGAGCCACCCAGGCACCCCAATAAATAAAATCTTTAAAAAAATAATAAATAATAAAAATTGGGAGATTTCAGTGTGGGGCCTGGCTGGCTCAGTCCATACAGCATGCGACTCTTGATCTCAGGGTCATGAGTTCAAGACCCATGTTGGGCATGGAGGCTACTTAATTAAAAAAAAAAAAAAATTTTTTTTAATAAAAGAAAAATGGAGATTTCACATAAAACCCCAAAATTTTAGCTTCTCTTGAAAAAAGATCTGGTAACACTGGGTCACATTTCCAAATGGGAATACATTCGTGTGGAGCTGAACAGATCTGCTACCCCCCTCCCCCAGCGTCCATGGAGCATTTCTTCTCTGGTTCACCACAGGCCCCCTCTAGCTTACAGCACTTATTTACATCATCTGCCTGGTCTTTGTAGGCATTTTCATTGGCGACCTCTGCACTGTACTGGGTTATAAGCAGTTCAAGAGGATGAGGGTGCTGGAGGCAGTAAAAGGGCACTGATTGATAGAGTAATTCCAAGCACTGGCTATTTTGGTGCCACTTCCTAGAATTTAGAAGAGAAGCATTTTCTAAGACTGCAACTGGAGAACATAGTAGAAGATCTGTGGAGAAGGTTCCAGGACGCACTCAAGAATTACACCGATGCCACAGAGGACCAAAAGATTGCCTTTGAGACTCTGCAGGTGAAAGATGAGAAGAGCTCCAAAGAGATTGAAGCACAGATGAAAAAAATACAGAGACTACAGGTGAGTGCAGCCAACTGGAAATACTCACTGCTTTAACTGCTCCAGTATCCCCTGGTCATCTTCTCCCAGCTTCCACTGGACCCTGTCACCAGTTGGGGAAAGACGAGATCCTTGGATTTCAGTCCCCAAATTGTCCTTTTACCTGTCTCATTGAAGACCTTTCGCTTGTCAAGGGTTTCCTCTAAACTCTGTTCCTCCAGGACTCCATAATGACTTTAAAAAGCAAGATCATGGTGCACAGCCGTGAGAGTGAAGACCAGAACCAGTACATTCGTAAGGACAAGGAGCTGGTCCTTGCCCAACTGCGAAAACTTAAGGCCCAAAGGACTCAGGCCCGGGAACTATCCCAGGAAAACTTAGTCAAACTCACTATGGAAAGTAATGCCACCCTCAAGGCCCTGAGAAGGATCGTCGATAAGGTAACAGGAGAGAGGGCAGTCAAACAAAACCAAGGAACTTGGCTCCCTGCAAAGTGAAAGGGGTCTGAGAGAGGTAGAGAGCCTTCTCCTGCTTCCTGCCTGAGTGAACACCTGGAGTACCTTTTTTATTCCGTGTTCTCTCCCCTCTCACATTTTATTTTTTTATTTTATTTTTTTAAAAATATTTATTTATTTGAGAGAGAGAATGAGAGAGAGAGAGAGAGCACATGTGGGGGGGGAGTCAGAGGGAGAAGCAGGCTCCCCACTGAGCAGGGAGCCTGATGCGGGACTCGATCCCGGGACTCCAGAATCATGACCTGAGCCGAAGGCAGTCGCTTAACCAACTGAGCCACCCAGGCGCCCCTCACATTTTAAATTAAATGAATTAATAATGAATTTGCTAAGACTGTAAAACACTTGGAATAGTGCTTGGCACCTAGTAAGCACCTGTGTTAGATGTATTCATTACTCTTGTCTCACATTTGCATGAATTGCTTCCCTGGGTTTAAGCAGGGGAACCAGCTCCACTATTTCTCCTCCCCACCCCCTTTCCTAATAAAACGTCTCTTCCTGCTTCTGATAGGGTGAAAAGATACTGAAACTTGCTGAAATATGTAGGAAGTTTGAAACAGAGGAAGAAAAAGTGCTGCCTTTCTATTCATCAGTCTTGACTCCCAAGGAGCAGGAGGAGATAGAAGAAATTTACCCAGAGGAGCTTACCGAACAGCTTGCAAAGGTAAAAGTTCCTAGGGTCTAGAGGCCATCCCCCAAGGTTGGGGATCATGGGGTACTGGGCTGCATTTGCTAATGGGCCTCATCACACAGCTTCTCCCTTTAACCAACTCCCAGGTGATAGTAAACTACACAGGGATGGAGAATTTCTGGAAAAGGTACAACAAAGTGAAACTGGAGCAACTGAGCCTCCAACACAGACATGTCCAGTTGTTAGAAATCAATGGGAAGTTGCGGGAGATGCTGAAGCAGTACTTAGATGGCATCTCAGTGAGTGACGAAGTGATGAGCCAGCTCAACCCACTCTTTATCGTCAACCATCGAAGTAACTTACCCCAGCCTTTGTCCACACCTACCACCCAGCCAGGTGACAAACCACCTCCAACTACTTACAACATCATTGAAGCAGCCCATGTGATCTCCCACATCCTGTGACAGAAGGAGAAAATCGCTTTTCAAACCCCAAACGATTTTTTGAGAGACTGGAGGACTTTGCTATTAAAAATTTCCATGAGGTTTATGAGCTCCTTCTATGTTTGCCATATTGGACAGAGCAGTCTACTTGGAAGATACTAGGAATACGGTGGCCCCAGAGAGTGGAGATAATAGCTAGGCAATTATCAGGAGGCTCATTGTTCAATGAAGCACTGCTTCTTCGAGTCTGGGCACTATGAGGGCCAGAACCCATACCTTTGGGATGTAGAGATCCTATGGGAACATTCAAGAGCAGCTCCTTGGCGGTAAGTTAGGACAAGAAGAAGAGGCAGGGGAAGAGGTGATCCAAAGCCTCCAACCACCCCAATGTCAGGCAAGATCCAACTCAGAATGGCTTTTTCCCCAGCCCTTTTCCTCATTCCCACTTACAGCAATAGCCTCAGAAAGTATCAGGTGAAGAATCCAGAGAAATTTTTAAAAATTATTTATTATTTCTTTTTGCTCTTGTTTCGTTTCTCTTCCTTGAGCTTCTTTCTGGAGACTTTAGGTCTGTTGGCCTTTTTGTATAGGTGATACCCAATGAGGCCCAGGAGGGCTGGCACCATGGCCATGCCTATCAGAGGCAAAATGCCCTTCACCAGCTTTTGCCAGTAGTTGGCTCGGATCAGTGCAATCAGCTCCACATCAAACTGCAGCACTGCATCCGCTGAAGGCAGAGAGGGGGTGAGGGTTAGAATCTCTGCATTTGATCCAGGGCTCAGAATCTAAATGAAAACAGGGAGGGCAGGCCACACCTGAGCAACAACTATGAAGCTGGCAAGATTTAAACATGTTGAGTTCCTTTAGACAAAAGTACAGAAGGGTTATGAGCAGACTACTGATAGTTATGTTTACGCCAAATCTACAAGTGTGGCTTGTGTTCAGTGACAAGTCTATGACAGGACAGGGGAACCTCCTGTGGATCTAAGGCATACAGGCTGTTCGCCACTGGTAAGTGAGAGAACCTCTATCCTAACTGTGCTCCCATTTCCAAATAGCCACATCGACAGAATCTTTGCAGGGCTGAAATTAACTGGATTTAACCTAGACATTTTAAAATGTCAGCAACGAATGAGCACATGAAATGTGACTGTTAGAAAACATAGATGTTTCAACATAGATGAAGGAGGTGGCTTAAGAAGTAAGGAGCAGGTGAATGAAGAGTGAGTCAGGGAGAAATGCAAACACTGGAAATGGGGAGATCATAGAGCTCTGGGTAAAAGAGTTTTTCTTTAGTCCCATGACCCTCTTTGCGGTTCTTCCTCTAAGTTGGAGCTAGGATAAGAAATTTTATCCTAATAATCTGAAGTACAAAACATTTTAGCTAATAGAACATTTGTTATAACCCAAAGCAAGAGATCTGCATCTTAGGAAATCTGTCCAGTGACCTGTTGATAGCTTTTAAAGTTATAGGGTGGGCTTGGCTTCCAAAAGTTGTTTTTTGTTTTGCTTTGTTTTGATTTACTTGACTGTGAATATTTGTACTGCCTCTTCCCTGGTGGAGGCTGAAAGGAGGGGTGGAGATGTGGTGAGAAAGCCATGCCAACTGCACAGATGACACAGGTTGGAGTTGTGGAGAAAAGCCAGGAAAAAGTCTAGAGTTCTGAGAAGGGGTAGCAGAGGCAACAGACCCAAGTGGCTCAAGTAGGTATCTCCTCCCTAAAAAGTTGCTTTCTGCTAGAGGGAAGCCAGGTAGCCTTAACAGATTCTAGGTCTCTAGTCCCGGTTGGTGATCTGAAGAGGAAAAAAGCAGCCCTGTAGGAGGAGGTCCCAGCCACCCCTGGCCTTTTCAGCAAACTGGATTTAGACTTTTTCAAGCTCCAGACAGAGCTCTGAGGGTCTGGGTATTTTGACTGCCTTGAGAGAGAAAGACCTCGTCAGATTACCTGGGATAGATGGTGGAAATCCCCGTTTTCCATAGGCCAAGTGAGAAGGAATGATTGCCCTTCGCTTCTCTCTGAGGGAAGGAATGTGAATCACAGCTACAGGTGGGACCAGGTGGGCCAGCAGCCTCAGTCCATCTGCAGCCCCACCAGCAAAACTCTCTGGACATTCACCCAAATGATGAACTTCCCCACCTAAGCACCAAGCAGGTTGACCAGGAAAGGTCTCTGTCCCCCCACATGCCTCAACTCCTCCAACAAAACCCACAGATCAGCACAGTGGCTTTGGATGCCCTTAGGGGTCCCAGTCACCTGGACCTGCCCAGTGCAAAGCCCTTATCACACATTCTTCTGCCTCCTCTAGGAGCAAGGATAGCAAAGTAAGCCTCCCCCCACGCAAAGGGGGTACCCAAGCCCACCCCTGCCCAGATACTCACCCCACACACATGTCTAGAAGGCTCTGCTCCAGACCTTGAGGAAGAAGACACAACTGAACAGGAAGCTACCTACATTCCCCAAATCCCAGGAGAGGAGGATCAAAGGCTCCCTATGACCCTCAACTGAGCTCCCCACTTCTCAAATCCCTGGTTGCCAGTGGGGCATGGGGCAAAAGGAGTGTTAGAAGCCGTATTTGAACCTCAGGAGGTGACCGGTAGAGTACTGGGGGCATTTCCAATGTATTTCAGGGCTTGAGGAGGCGAAGAAGGGCTTAGGTTGGGAAGAAACAGAATGGGAGGCAAAGGTCACATACCTGGGATCACCTGCTTTTGGCCAAGTTCTATAACCAGAGGGTCTCTGGTCAGGGAAGTGTCAATAATGCGTCCATCTAGCAGGCTGCCCTGTGGGGAGAGGGCAGCAGGAGCGCACACCTAGTCGCTCCCTCTCAGCAGGCGCGCACCACACTCACCTGGGCCCCTGGGCGGCGGCGGCACCCCCCTCGCAGCTGCAGCCCAGCATTCCCCTCTGGGCAGAAAGCAACAGGAAGCCCCAAAGGGCTGGCACTTCTCGGAGCTCTCCCCACCCTCCGCTTCTCTGAGCCGGGGCGGAACTGGCGGAAAAGCGGGGAAGGGAAATGGGCAGGCAACAGGAGCGCCCCTCCCCCCGCCACGTGCTCGACGACCCCAGAGCTCCAACTTCACTCCCGCACCGCTTGCCACGTGTCGCAGCCAACGCTGACGTGTTCCAGCAGGGCGCCGCCCCCTCCCAGGCCCCGCCCCGGCCCCCCAGATCCCTCACCGTGTAGTGTATGTGCAGCGTGTCTCCAAAGGCAGCGGGCTCCGCACACGGCTCGGGGGGCTCCACCTATGATCGGACTAAGGGAGTCACGCAGGCTCCTCCAGAGATCCCGTTCCTGCCCCTGCACCCAGCACTCCCCTGCCCAGTTCCCGCACTCGCTCTCCTCCCCGCTCCCAGCTTCGTTCAGGCCCCCTCATTCCCTCCCAAGGCCCAGCCGCCGCAGCCCCGGGACACCCTGTCCTCACCAGGGTCTCCACTTGGAGGGTCCGGACGGGACTTTCGGTTTCAAGCCCAGCCTCAGCCCGGCACACCGCCCCACTGAGCAGCAGCAGCAGACGGAGTGGGAGTAGTGAGGGGCGCAGGGTCATGACTGGATGCGGGCCAAGGCACGGGGCACCAGGACAGGCTGCTCGGGGGGCGACGGCTTAGGACAGCGGTTGCCTCGGCGCCCAGGCCGGACTGGACGGGACGGGGCGGGTCGCGACGCGCCAGCTCCTCCTCCAGCAGCCCTTCCTCCACCTTGTCCCCACCTCCAGGAGGGAGGAGGCCGCCGAGAGCCCTCCCTACCCTCTAAGATCGAAGGTCCCGTTTTATGAGCCATCCGTTAGCCATTCTGTCCCATAGCGAGGGGCTGGATCACTTAACAGCCCCCACTTACGATGACCTACTGTGTGCCAGTCACTTTTCTGTAATCCTCAAAACCACCCTGAAAGGTAGGCATAATTGTCTCCATTTTACAGATGCGGAGCTGGGTGTTCAGGTTAAGCAACTTGTAGTCTTCTAGCTAGGTGGCGACAGAGACAAGATTCAAACCCAGGATTGCCTGAGTCCAGTGTGTTTGCTTTCTTTCCTCTGAAGATATATGTCTCTTCACACCTGTCCTGGCAGTGTCTGGTTGGCCCACCCCACCCAGCAGTTGTTAAAGAGGGCATCCCTCGGGCCCCTGGGGGGCTCAGTTGGTTAAGCGACTGCCTTCGGCTCAGGTCATGATCCTGGGAGTCCCAGGATCGAGCCCCACATCGGGCTCCCTGCTCAGCAGGAGTCTGCTTCTCCCTCTGACCCTCTTCCCTCTCGTGCTCTGTATCTCTCATTCTCTCGCTCTCAAATAAATAAAATCTTTAAAAAAAAAAAAAAGAGGGCATCCCTCTCCCACCTCCGGCCCTTCAGCTTGAATTCTGGAGGTCATAGGAGGCAGGGAGCTGTCTCATCTCCCTGTTCTTTGGAAAGCTAATTTCAAAGAGCCAGGAGCTATTTTCCTGTAAGGATGGGATGAATGCCTTATCTTTTCCTGACACCAACGTATCCCTCCTCCTTTATCAGCAAGCTTGTAAAAAGGGCAACTACCTATAACCCATTTGTTTGTGCAAGGACCTCGGTTTTTATTTTTATTTTGCCCAATGTGGGGCTTGAACTTACACCAAGATGGAGTCTCATGCTCTACAGACTGAGCCAGCCAGGTACCCCAAGGATTTCAGTTTCTTAAAGGGGTTTTAAATTATTTCAGACAATGCAACCAGTCCCCTTTTGTATGATTTAAGCCCTCAATGCCCACTCAGGCCATGGCATCTGAATTCTGCTCCCTCAAAAAGTCATCAGTGAGCTCAGTCACCAAATTCTTGGGTCATTTCTTGGTCCCTTGTCCTCTTTAGCATCTCTCTTGTATTTGATGGCATTGAGCTCTGAATGCCCACCCAAGCTCTAGATACAACTGCCTACTGGGTATCTCCTCCTGGATGTTCGACCAGCACGTCAAATCAACACACCCAATACTGTACTCATTCCTTTTTCTCCATCCATCCCATCTGTAACAATCTAGAATTCCCTATTTTGTTTTCTGTTAGTTTCTGTTAGTGGCTCTGCTGTTAGCATTCTCCTAGATTCTTCTCTCATCTCTCACATCAACCAGTCTCCTTTGGATTCTCCTTCC